CTCGACGACGATGAGGCTGTAGAAAAAGGTTATGCACACCTAGTATCGATGCCCCAGTTGGAGCACACAGACCCGCAAAGCGACGGAAGGAACTCGTGGACATCATCCATAGAAGACATATTTGAATCTGAGGCAGGTGAGGAACCTGCTCCCGTCGTTCGATCACGAGAGAACCAACATGAAGAAGAGATCACTCATGTGGAGCATTCACACTCAGTGTCAGATCATCTCAGTGTTGAAGATGGCTCGAATGGAGAGCACCATGCAAGCGACGCTTATACAATAGTGAACAAAGTTCTCCAACAACAAACGTCGTCGGGGGTGGTCGATCAGCAACTCGTGGATGATATTTATCATCGCATCATACAAACCTCCCCAGATTTAGCTAGCGCAGAGAATGTCGATGAGGAGAAAGTGCAGCGGTTATGTCTGGAAGAACTTGAAGAGTACACTCGTCAGTGGAACCAACTCGAATCTTCACGTCCGCAATCAGCCGAGTCTTTTCACGTCGAAGCAAACCCGTATGCTGGCCATGACACGACTGAAGAGCGGGATGAGAATCCCACTGACTCTCCAGATATTCACGCTTCGAGCCATGTCACCCCACCGCCACCCTCCTTACCACCTTCGAGCTATCGAACTCATCATCGATACAAATCCAGTTTGGATAGTGCAGAAGACTGGGCCGAGACGTCGCCATCAGTCGGTGATTGGATGCAGTTTGCTCTGAAATCACCGACTGAAGAAAGGCAGCCATCTGCTCTGGCTCACGAAACGCCTACTGAAGCGGGATCTGGAATGTCAACGACCGAAAGTCATCAAGGTGTCGAGGAAAACCAACTTGAGCAGGCGCCAGACGGTTTTCTACCGGTTTCGGTTGAAAGGAATCATATTCCACGCCCTCCATCCCACTCTCCACCACCTCCTCCAGTGACAAAACTGCCTACTGTTGAACAGACTGCCTGGTCTGCCCCCACTGGTATAAGACCAGCCATGCCTCAAACGGCTCCACCGGCTCGGCCGCTCACAGCATTATCTCAGATGTCTACCAGATCAAGTATAGACCAACAGACGATACATACCATCTCCAACGATAACAGGCCATCTATGGAAGAGCAAAGTCCCGAGCAACGTCGCCTGAAACAAAGAAGACACGTTCTCAAAGAGCTGGTGGATACCGAGTATACATACGAAAGAGACATGAGAGTCCTCTGCGATATCTATAAACAAACTGCAATTGCTGCCATGAATGAAGAGGATATCAAGATTATATTTGGCAATGTAGATCTGGTACAACAGTTTTCCAAAGATTTTCTCGCCTATCTGAAGCAGGTTGTCAGACCGGCTTACATCATGGAAAGATCTGATCGACGAAAAGACGGTAACCGTGCCTCCACAGTACAAAGCTCTGCAGCATCTATTGATGGTACTGGTGAGCTGACCGACTTTGAGCGAGACGAGCTTACACGGGTGGGCACTGCGTTTGAAGCGTCGATGAACGATATGGAGAAAGTATATACCGATTACATTCGAACTCGACATGCTGCTAACAAGAGGTTGGAGGCACTGCAGTCGTCGGCCGCTGTACGAGAATGGCTCAAAGAATGCAGCGAGAATTCAAGCGACATCACCAACGCTTGGAGTTTGGACGCACTTCTTGTCAAACCAATACAGCGTATCACCAAGTATCCCCTCTTACTCAATCAGCTGCTAGATGCAACCCCCAATGCTCATCCCGACGTTGAATGCATCCGAAGAGCAGTAGCTGAGGTGACCGAGGTCAATGTGCGGATCAACGAAGTCAAGAAACATACCGAGCTTGTCGATCAGGTACTCAACCGCAAGCGGAAAGAGTCTGATGTACGGAATGGTTTGACTAAGGCGTTTGGTCGACGCGCAGAAAAGCTAAGGCAACACGTGGGCATCAATGAAATGCACGAAGATCCAGAGTATACCAAACTCAAGATCAGCTATGATAACAACATTGCACATCTTTTCTTGGTCACCAAGGATTGCCAAGGCTATATTGAAGAGATTACCAAGTGGGTCAATCGCCTGTGTGAGTTAGCAGCCGCTGCTGAGGCATGGGTCGATGTTGGGCACACGAACCACGCACAAGCCGAGAGCAAACTTCGACAATTTGCTATTGTCGTTCGTGGCGTCAATTCAATTGCACTTCCCGACCACAATGAGCAAGTCACAAGGCGTGTTGTCCAGCCCATGGAAAAGACAGCCACAATGCTTGACAGGTTTAGGTCAGATTCTAAAGGACTGATTCAAAAGCGGGACAAGCGACTTCTGGACTATAATCAATTCAAAAACAAGAAAGACAGAGGAGAAAAGATCGATAAGAAGATGACTGAGCGCATGGAGCAGTGGGAGGCTCTGAACCTCGAAGCAAAAGAGAGAATGAAGCGACTTCTCCGATCAACGGCTGATCTTGTTCACACTTGTCAGGCCAATCTTGTTCAGCTGCATCTGAATTGGTTGGCAATGTGCCGGCAAAAGTTCTCGGCTGCAATGGAGATACCCTTGGACAAACTGGAAAAGGCCGATATTGTCAAAGACTGGCAAGAAGACTTTGATTTCCAAGAAGCCACTGCATTGTCCCTGAGCATCTGCAATGGGTCATTGCTGGCAGAGGCCGTGAACATGGTTTCGTTCTTAACGCCAGGGTCAACCTTGATGGGCGATGAGTCCCCCCGTCAACCGTCATGGAACAGCGCACCGAAGCGGTCTGTGTCAACTTCCGAAGAGATACCCCCGGTGCCATTGAAGGACTACTATCACCGGAACAGTGGGGGACCGATGAGTTCTCAAAGTGACGACCACACGGAATGGAGTTCCTCCACATTTGCAAATGGGCGCATTCGGACCGGCTCAGCTGCATCTGGTCGAATTCCAAAAACACCCGAGGCAGGAAGTCGTGGTGTATCTGCGTCTCTTCATACCGTCAACAGCACGAATATATCTCGACCAGGGACTAGTCCAGGACTCTCCGTAGACAGCGCCCAACCGGCTCCCCGGTTGAGCTTTGAAGCTCCATCTCCATCACTTGGTGAATTGTTGACTGAGTCTCCCATGGCGGTACGACATGCATCGTCATCTACATTCTACTCCGCAACTCCAGGGCCAAGTCAGTCACAACCTCATCTACCAGTCACAAGTGGAGCCAGTGTGTTCTCTTCCGCAATGCCCATGGAAGAGTACCCGGAGCCGGAAACAGAGACAGCACCTGTGGATCCAGAGCCACGCCGAGAGCCTGGCGTCCTATTCACCGCGGCTAGTGTCTACGAGTTCAACATCGACCGCTCACGACAACAAGGCGGATTTCGCTACCTCACATATGTGATTGGGGAGATATTTGACATCATTGCCGAACACGGAGAACTGTGGTTGGCGATCAATCAAGACGATCCCACGAGAGAGATTGGCTGGATCTGGAACAAACATTTCGCGAAATTGGCGACATGAAATGGTGATGGAGGTATACAGTTTTCTATCTCAGGGCAGGATCTTGGATAAAGCGACTCAGAGCATACATGGATCATTCACTCAATGCATGCAGGCCGGTATTCATGCCTCATGAGAGACCATCTGCGACCTCTATAAGAACATGCTTGTGTATTTTAACAGATACGGGGCGTGGCTTGACGAGTTCCGGTTTTGGCCTGGGTCAAGGATGGGCTTTTCTTTCTTCTAGTTTGTTTGTCTTTCTAGCGTTCGAGCGGTTCCAAGGGGCGGTCGGTGTTCACATGTACCACAAAAGCAAAAAGGCGGGGAGCAATTGTACAGTATTACCGGAAAATAGGCCATGACTTGATGGAAGGCAGCTGTGGTTGCCAGGGTTGAGGGAACCTTGGAGTTGGACACGCTCTGCACCGAAGAGAGAATATGAAAAGCACAGTTTGAAAGATGCCGACAGCCTGCTTGCTCCGTCCCAAATAGACTGTATGAACTCTTCGTAAACGACGTATGAGCATGGGCTGGATTTTTTGGGTGCGGGAGCCTGCGAGGTTGAGGCTGTGGTGGCTGTGCAGTCGGAGGTGACGTATAACCAATCTGCACACACGTCTACAAGGGACTGTGCAGAAGGTGGTGGAACGGGGCTACACTCCTCGTCGCTGAACAAACATTTTGACCGCGAGAGGCGCTCAATGCGCAAGGCCTTTGTTGGAGTCACTATATAGACCCTTTTATTTGTCCCTGCCTTGGCTTCAGTATGAACCATCATCAAGCTGGCACTGACTGGTGAGCGCGGCGAAGCTCTCATCCATTCCGCCTCTGCAGTCTCACTCTTCTCGCACGACCTTTATTCGCTCCTTGGTACGCCTTGCGCAGACAACCGAAAGGTCGACCACGATGCCTGATCTCCATCCATTTGGAGGGCGAATGAGCCGAGCATTTGGCAGATCGGTAGGTGCACAGACAAAGACATCCTGCTTCGCACTCGTGCGCGGTCTCAACCCCCACCATGGCAGCATGTCGTTGCCGCTCCTCAAAAGCGTCACAGCGAGTAGTGGTTGTATGAGCTGACTGACACCTTTTTAACATGAAGCTTGCCCCTGAAGATGCGTACTTGAGCTGTGGGTGAATTCCGATCTCCCTCACATATTCCATGCTGACCCTAGTCAAACAGACTACGATGTCCGATGTCGGTATCCCTTCGTCCCCAAACCTGTCCCCGACAGGGGTTTTCCATGGCAGAGAACATTATACTGAGACAGAGAGAGGATACAGTGACAAGAGAAGACATATCAGTGTTGAAGAATGACTGGTTGACGGACAATGTATGATGATATCCCTCACAACGATACTGAGGCTGGTCAGGCTGACGACTTTGGTATCTGTACAGGTCATCTCATTTTGGGAAGAGTAGGCACATTCCACACTTCACCTGAGAGAGATATAAGACCTAACGAGCATTCCCTACAAGGTATCTGGAGCGAGAGTACCTCACTCACTACAAACATTCGCATATTGTCCTCCTCCGCCCCACCATGTCCTTCATGCTCATGCAGACCCCAGATCCTCGGACGATCAAGGTATTTCTACCGTTGGCCTTTCATCTCCTTGCGGTCTCTTTCATCATGCTGAACTGCCTTCTAGGACGCTCTCCCCGACTTCACCAACGTCTCACATATCTTCCTCCCCATCAACGACAACCACTCAGCCTCCATTGCTGAAGGCGGCACTCATTGGTCACTGCTGTTGGTCTCCATTGTCGATGGCGTCGCCTTCCATTATGACAGCATGCCCCCCGGCAACCAGCATGAGGCGCACTACGTTACCCAAAAGCTCTCTCGATTGATCAACAAACCTCTTCGGTTCATCCAATTGACCGACTCGCCCTTGCAGGATAACTCGAGCGATTGTGGGGTGTTTGTCTGTCTTAACATGAGGCATCTACTTCTCAAGAGACTTCTGATGGTCAGAACAGATGCGAAGGTTAGCATGAGTCTGGGTGACAGAAGGGTTGATGCTTCGGCCGGCAGGAAGGAGATGCTATCCATCATCGAGGAGTTCCGCAGAGAGGGCGAGAGAAGAAGATCGTAAGTCCTAGCCATGTTCTGCCTTGTGCCTTGTCAAGTGTGATTCCACCTTACACCATTACACCTGGGCCAGATATGGGGAAGCTGATGGCTAACAACTTGTTGCAGCATCAGCAACTCCCCTCACCCAGGCCGAAAGTCCAAGTCACCACCCCGCATAGATTCACCACGCGTGAGATCAAAGAGCAACGAACCCACGAATTGGTCCTGATACGGGTTCACATGGCACGAAGAGACGACTACGAAGTGATGTAATGATTGGTTGAAACAGTGCCGACAAAACAAACTCGGGACCTTGCAGATTGTGTTTTGCAACCGTCCGCAGCAAGAAGGAAAGACTATCACGTTGTCATGAACCACCTACTCGATAGAGAGAGAGAGAGAGAGAGAATCGTGTCCATGCCGTGGATTGTTGTGGTGACCGACCTGTGGCGCAATGGAGATGAGAGATGGAGTGTAGTGCCCAGAATGGGTGTTGATCGCACATTGATGGGCAAGGCTGGCTGGATCATGCGGCCCGTTCCGGTTCCGCCACTCTCTTAAGAACAACAAGATCGAGTTTCCTGAATAAGCCATGGCGGTTCGTGCTATCTATGTACATAGGTGCATACTTGCGTGCCGCAGAAGGGTTTCCTAGCTAAAGCACATCCCGTTGCACCACCAATAGAGCCGTTCCGCCGGGCGCAACGTGAGAGAACTAAAAAACGGGTTCCGAGCACGGAAATGCTATTCTTAACTACATGCTGGAGATTGCTGGTACTCGCTTTGTGGTTGCTTGTCATGGCAATACCTGCCCTGGCACAGTTTGTTCCGTTTACCCTCCTGGAGCAGAACCCGAATCGCGCTCGGATGGTCCTCTGGATAGTATCCTTCGCTGATCCAAATCTTCGCTCGCAACAAATGGTGTACTGGTGTCCCTCCTGCTCACACGACACTCGAAGTTGCCCTCTTCTTGCTACCCCGCAAAGTTCTCATCAAAACCCCTCTGTTACCTCAACCGGCTCCGCCTGTGCTTTTAAAGAGTGTAGATGAAATCTGGCCTCAGGTCCCCTAACTTATCAATCTCCTCCTCGTTCTTGCCCTGTATCCACACATCTCTTTCGCCCGCCCTGCGCTTGGCATTCTCTCTTCTCAATAGGATATGCTGAAGGATGCTGCCGCCTAGAAGAAAGAGAGCTTCGTAGACGAGAACCACGGCGTGGCCTGGCTTGAATCGCGGCTTGTCTTCTGCACGGTAGACGTTGCTAGACATAATTCCTATCCAACGTTGTCAGAATTTGTACCTTGAAGCAACTCTCAATACTGTGGGGCGAGATAGGAACGCTCTGGGATACCTCTGTAGAGGGAGACAGAGGATCCAATGTGCAGAGGGAAATTGGCGGGGATGCCATTTCACATACCGTTCAGGTTACCCCATCCAATTACGAATCCCAAGGCAATTCCTCGTTTGTATACCCCTTCGACGTTGTTCGCCGTCCAAGTGATCGTATTCGGAATGCACGGGTATATTCCCATAGCGCCCAAGAAAGTGCCCGCGTATTGAACGTGCGGTACTCCCGAGCCCAGAAGCATGGCGAAACCTACTATGCCGAACAAGGACATGACCATATTGCAGTAGCCTGATTGTAGCGTCAGCGAAAGGGCCTCTCAGTGGAGAATGGACACAGACAGTAGGAAAAAAGGAGACAAACCTCTCTTCCCGGTCCGATCCGCAACAAACCCGACAGTAATCGTAACCACCGCGGCCACAGCATAAGGTGGAACGCTAAGCAATTGCGCGTGTATACTCTTGTAACCCATTTGCTGAATAATTGTGGGCAGAAAGAGAGAAAATGCATAGAGCGCGCCGTCACAGCCCATGTATATAAGGGCACCAGTCCAGGTCTTCCAGTCTTTGGTCGCGGCCCAGAAATACTGCATCTTGAATTCTTCATGCTCGGCGCTGGATTGTTTGTCAAGTTTTAGGCGCCGGATCACTCGACGCCGATCATCGTCGCTGAGAAATTTGGCTTCGTCGGGGAAGTCGTGGACCTACAATGTATCAGCTGTGAGCGTCCTCCTTAGACTGACGCCATGAAACTTGCCATGAAATATGACAGTCCAGCAACGATGATCGTTGCAAGACCTTCAAGGATAAAGATCCATGCCCAGCCCGGCTTGCCTCCGACGCCATCCATCTGGACAATAGCTGCAGCTAACAAGCCGCCAAATGAACCAGCGAGGGCTGCCGCCGAGAAGAAGACGGCCGCTCGAATACCGAACTCAGAGCGCTTGTACCAACAGGATAGGTAGTAATTGACGCCTGTTGTGAGGTCAGAGAGAATCTTGAGCAACTCGAGCATTTGGTTTACCAGGGAAAAGGCCAGCTTCAGTTAACCCGAGGAACCATCGCGCTGCCATGAGACCGGAAAAGTTGTGAACGAGACCCATTGTGGTCATACAGATACCTGGAGATTGAGAATTTTGATCAGTAGGGCTCAAATTGGAACGGACCCCCGAAAGACAACGGAGACAATGGAGACAATGAATCTTTGCCTAGATCCAGCCTACTTACCCCATAGAATCATGATAGTAGGGAGGAAAATAGAGGGCCGGAATCGTTTCAACAAAATCTGTGTCAGAGGCTCGAACAGCGAATACGAGATGAAGAAGATGGTCAAGGTATCATTGTATTCGTTGTTGGTCAGGTCCAAGTCTTCTTGAAGCCCGTCGATCTTGGCGTTTCCAATATTGGTTCGATCCAAGAAGGAAATCAGGTAGAGTAAGCAAAGCCATGGGATTAGCTGGATGTCGAGTTTCCAGAGCAGTTTACGGTCCTTTAGACTATCAGTTCATCTGTCAGTCGGCAGGATCATTTATTGCATACAATACGCTTTCGCTCTTCTTCACTCAGACCTTCATCTGGATCTGGCACGGCGATGACATCAACGGGAACACCGCTTTCGACATGTTTCTCATTCTCTGAAGGAGAACGAGCATCGTCGGAATCGGAGACCTTGGGATCGGTTTTTTCCATGGTCGTGAGCTGCAAACAGAAACTTGGTGTGGAGGAAGACGACGGGAACAGATACACGGTATATATAGACGATTTTGTCCAAAATGCCAAAGGAAAGGGAAGGTCGGGTCGCACAGATTGTACCAAAGGATATTTTTAATCTGGAGCAACGGAGGGCGACCGCTTACCGATGGACAACCCGCAGGGGGCGGTCCGGGGTAGATATCCTGGTTCAGAAAGAGGAGAGATGCAATCATCATGATGTCCTTCCTCATGGGGTTCTAGTTCCGTGATTGACGGCTGGGAGCAGTTGACTCGTGGTGGAAAAGAACGTGGATGATGGATATGCGTTGATCGTTGTGTGGATACCCAACCAAATGTGAACCAGCCATTGACGTCGATCGTGGGATAAACAGCATCAAGGTCATTCTAAGCTTCCCGCGCCCAAGACGCGCTAGAAGATACTGAATGAAGCACTCACTGGCTTCTAAGCTTAAGAAGCTCCCCGCGACTGGTGGATGTTGTCAGCCAAGGCAAGGCGGGAGTCCAACGGTCATTCGCCGGGTGGACGATGTGGGCTTGTCAGCGCCCTCGATGTTGCCACATTCATTGCAGGGCAACAAGGCCGCTGCGACTCTGATGCTTGTAACCTCTCGCTCCGCTTAACCATTTAGGCGGAAGATGGACAGTTGTGGAACAGATGATTCGCTCGAGGGGGTGATCTCATGTGCTTCAGCGACTTTCGGTTGAACGGGAGGGTGGCCCAGTGTCACGTCGCCTGATCTTCTCATGCAAGTCTTGTGAAACCATCGGCATTTGTGGACACGGGCAACCGGTGTTCTTTACCGCAAGTTCCAGAACATCTGAGCATCGGTCTCTGGAGAAGAATCCCGATCTTATTTGCACCACCATCTCTTGTCTTTTTGACACTGTCACCCCGTGAAGGCTGGCTCATGAGCTGCTTGGTTGGTCTCTCGGGTATGAGGTTCCCTTTAGCTTTGGTTTCGCAGACGAGGGAGCTTCCGGTGCAGGCGATAGTTCGTTGGGTTCAATCTACGAGGACATTGATATTTCCCTGCCAGATTCGCTGTGAGCAGCAAATGCGGCAACCGGGCTCAATACACTTGCAAATGCTGGGAAGCAGTAGGAAGGGTGATGTTCTGAAGCCTCATGCCCCATGGCTCCAACCGAGTGGCATGGCTTGAATTGACGAAATTTGACGAAACGTGGCTTTGAGAAAGGAGATGATGCCAGAGGGTTTTTCGATGCAAGGAGATCACTCAAACTATCCTCGATGGGCGGGAGGAGGTACTGGTAAGTGAAGACTTCTTGTTGACAAGAGTTTTTTTTTGGTGGTGCAGTACATAATGAAGCTGTGCGGACAAGGCTGCTCTTTCCGCTGTTCGCTCAACATTTCTCGAACCTTGCCGGTTGGTGCTCAGCACCTGCTCGCCTAGATGCTGGCTTCATCGGGTTGAGTGTTATCCCTCGATCCTCTTCTTTTTCCTCATCTCATGTGCTTCGTCTTCGCTTTCATAGCAGCAGCTTGCCATGGCCCTGAACAAGACAATTGAGCGGCTTTTCAAGTATCCACCAATGGAGCGTCAAGACCTCAACCAGTCGCAGCTGGGCAGCTTCAAGTTCACTCCTGTCGATCCTGTCAGCAATATTTCGAACCTCACCCACTCAGCAAAGGTCTACCTTGAACAGCAGCTTTGCCGGAGGCTGTATCATGGTGCAGCACCTCTTGCGGCAGACTCTTCAACGGACAAACCCAATGCCTTCACTGACACGTCACCTGGAAAGTTTGTTTCACTCCCAACATCCTCTCTGGCCGATGCAAACTTCTTTAACAAACACATCCAGCCCGACCTTGGCGACTCCCGTCTGCGGCTTGGCCCTGCAGCTCTGCGTTCTGCTGTCGAGGGTGCTGCAAGCCCGACAAAGAAGCTCTCCGTTATTCAGTTACAGCAGGAACCTGGTGCAACCGTGAGGCGACACCAACAAAATAACAGCTTGAACGTAAGTGTGTATTCAGAGTTGTATTCAGGACCTGGCTGTCTTTGTCTTAATTTTGCTGATTGTGTGCAGTTCTCAGAAGTGCTGTCATCCCAGGGTCCAAATCCAGTGATGGATCCGACATCCACCACGTTCACAGCAGCAGGGGTGTTCGCCAGCCAGAACCCATCCGACTCAACTTCTTTCAGTCAAACGTTATTTGTGGCCCTCACAAATGAACAGCAAGCTCACAATGTGACCAAAGCAGCTTTGGTCGAACAGATTAAGCAGCGCGTTGAGGTGGAAGATGAGCTCGAGAAAAGCAGACGACAGATTGCGAGCATGACAACCACGATCAACACCCTAGGAGCCATAATCAAATACAACGCAAGTAAGGGTAATGGAGATACTACCAAGGAACGGCAAAAGACCGAGACATCGGAGGAGGACGAGGAGGTAGCTTTAAGGGAGTTTTACCGTGAATATCAGAAGGTCAAAGACGCCGCCAAGGGTCGACATGGGCGCAAAGAAATGGAACAACATGCAGGAGAAGAACGTTCCGGAAATTGTGTGTCAGCCAAGGAGAACGCTGTTGATGTGACTGTCCCTCCGTCTGGCGATGTCGTTGATGATGCGCAGCTCTACAATCTGGACCTGCTGAAAAAGCCAACTTTTGACGACTCTGCCGATTCTATTTTACGGCGCACTCTTCGCAAGCACTTCTCGATTGAGGACAACGGAGAAGACGGCAATCCCCCAGCGACTCCTGCCAGACGTCGTCCTGGTATCGCCAAGCTCATCGATATCTCCCCAGAGTCAGTCGGAGAAGTCATGGAGAAGGAAGAAGTTGAAGCGAAGCGCAACATGCAGGCATCAAAGGAGGAAACCACCGTTAACGCTTCAGATGATATTCAACGACAACTGAAAGCTACAACGGTCAGCATAAATCAAGTTCGCCTTCTAGTAAGTGAGATGTGAGATGCAAGCGTCCTCGATGAGTGTCAACTGATAATGGCAGACTGCGCAAAACCCCGTCCTTGAGCTGGTGAGTCTCGTGTCGCTGATCTTGAGTAGGAAGCTTACACTAACTCACGACTCAGCCTGCGGCATTCATTGCAAAGTACGGGCAAAAACCTCCTGATCCAAAGGCGCAGGTCCTGGAGGAAAAGGTCTGTTCAATATTACTACCGTCAAGAGTTACTAACCGTCCATAGTCAAACGGTGTAAGCCTAACAAAGGGTGAGGCGTTCCTGCTTCAGGGCTCACCAAGTAAGCCCTCGAATAATGAGTCCTATGTCACGCTTCGCCCATCGTCGTCTCTCACTGGTGATCACGATGATCAGCTAGCCAACAAGGTGGTTTCTCCTGCCGCAGCTCAGTCACAATGTCGCATCACGGTACAGGTCGGTGACAACCTTCGCGGGGAGCCGAAATGGTTGATCAACAGAGACAATCCTGTCTTTGAAAGTGAGCAAAAAAAGTGGCAAGCCCTCGGAGAATGTGGGATTTCCTGGCGCCAAAACAGCCCGTTCATGGACCATCCAGTGCGTTACCTTCCCGAGGACGCAGCTGGGACCTCAGACGCTTATCGCACTGTAATGATCGACGAGATTCCAGTCGCGAGTACCTTGCCGGAGGTGCTGAGTATTGTCAAGGGTGGTTCCCTGGAGTCCATCCAACTATTTCCACCCATCGGTAAAGTCACAACCTTCATGACTGCTCGAGTCGTCTTCAATCATGAGGAATCTGCACACAACATGATCAAACATCAAGAAGCTGTGCCAGGCGAAGCCACTGACTCGAAGTGGTTCAAGATAAAGGGAGTTGCTGTTCGCTGCTGGATGCCCACAGATCCAACCTATCCCCGAAACGATGAGCTTGAACGAAAGATTTTTGGCAAGGCTGCTGCATCCCGAATCATCCTCATCAGCAACATAGACGAATACACCTACAACATGATTCCATACAAGATCAAGCCACCTTATGCTCAACACGTCGTCGAGTACAGCTACACACCAGATGGCTGTGTATCGATCGAATTCACCGATGTCAAGAGTGCCATCAGAATAATGGATCAGTTGGAGAGAGACGGGGAGTTCTGGAATGGCAACCTTCAGTACGATGTTGATTATACGTGCGCCCCGTACGTCAAGGGCGAGGCGATGGGTCATTGAAAGGCCGCTGACTGGGCGAAGAACCAAGGGACTGACACAGAAACATGCAATCAACTATCCACTTGTGCTAGAGCTACAGACTGAACATGCAGGTAGCCAAGCGCCAGCTGAGACAACAAAGAACACAGGATTGGGGTGAGAGCTGGATTTCAACCTTGAATCTCGTTCCTGCAATATGACGCTCGTGCTTGTACTGCCTTGAGATGGAACATACATTCTCATTTGTTCATATTGTCGCCACGAATTTCCCTTGGTGACTTGACAATCGTCCAGTGTGTTCCACTACTCCGCCTGGGCGATCACAAAAACCAGTGAGCAAAGTGCCTGGTGTTCTGTCTCACTTTCCCCTGATGCGGAAAGGTGGTCCACAACTCGTGCCGTGCCAGCGACGTTTTGCTTCATCAACCTGTTACCTCGGGCTTTCTTTGACGATTTCTATCCAAAATGAAATAACGTCTCTCCCTTTTTTCCCTTTTTTCCTTTTCTTCTCCCTGATGAAGCCCCTTCACCACCGTCGATGTTGTCGCCGATTCCTTCCGGGCGACCTGCACTGGCAGCTCCAGATGCCTGTGCTTGTGCTGGTGTGGGCGCGAGCCCTCCGTTTCCCCAAGGATTCACCGGCGTAGTGGTGCCTGATCCGGGAGCTGACCCGAACCATCTCACTGAACCCCGCGTGTTGAAGCCGGCCATCATAGTGTTTGGTTTCGGTGCAGCAGGCAACGAGGGGAAGGCGTCCTCTGTGGGTCGGGGAGGAGCGAGGTTACGTGTGTTTGTGTTCTGACGGAGCGTGGACGCTGTCGTTGGTACTCCCGGGCGTACGACGCTTGGAGTAGTGGTGGTAGCTGTGGACGCGGAGGTAGTGGTCCACGCGGGAGGAGTTGCTCGAGATGTACCAGCACGCGGAGCGCTCTTCTCTGCTGCCCGTGATAAGGCAGGAAATGGTTCTTGACTTATTCCCGGAGCTATGGCATTGCCCCAAGAACCTTGTCTTGACACCGCTGAGCGGGAGGACTGGGCCGTGCTTTTCTTTAATGTTAACACCCTTCGGCCAGAAGTTACGGGCCCGGTCGAGACGCCTGGGAGAGTGCCACTTGGGCCGGGGAGGCTGGGGTAATCTTCATTGATACTGCGCCAGTTATTCCACGCCTGCAGTAGATCCTGGCGCCTTGTTTCATCTTCATACAGATCTGCTAGCTCGCGGACGAGCTTGCCCAGTTCTGAACTTGGACAGTCGAACAGAGAGAAGAATGAATCAATGAGGTTGTTCGCAGAGCTAGTGCCGCTGCGGTAGGCCGAGACATGGGTCCGAAACTGTGACAGCTTCGTCTTATCGTTCTTAAGAAGCGAAGTGGCGCGGTCAGTTACTGCTTGGTGTCGTAAAGCTCGTGCTTGTTCTTGAGGAGTAAGGGCTGGAGCTGGTGTGGACCTATCTTCGACGCTGAGATTCTCGACAGTGGGTAATGATGAAGGCGGTTGTGGAGACGCTGGCGGACGGCGAGTGACGGGAGTGGTCTGTGTTAATTGGCCGCCAAAATTCCTGCTCGAGACAGATTGAGAGCTTTGAATCGCCAGTTGACGTTGATAGGCCAGCTCTGCACGACCAAGTGGCTGAGCGCTTGATATTGGTAGTGGTTCGGCATTTGGATCTCGACCCCTTCCAGTGCCGCGATTTGCTCGATCTCCTCTTCGAGCTGGTTGGTAGGGCTCTCGAAGAGCAAAACCGGACAGATCGACAAGACGAGCATCCCTACGAGCATCCTTAGAAAGTCCATTTGGGTGTTCGGCGAGCTGATGCGCCTTGAGGTCCATTTCGGACTCGAAGACGTTTGTCTTGTTGGCTTGACATTCGGCATCAAGACAGACAAAATGGTCCGCCGCAAAATGTTTTTCGAGTTCTTGGTAGTTGAGGTAGTACTGCGGATTCCTCCCGCCGTTCCGTCTATCACAAATGTGACACCTCTCATGTTTCTCTCGACAGTGAGTATAAAGTTCATCATCTCCATAGAATCGTTGCTTGCAAAAACCGCATTCAGGATGTCCTTTAAAGCCAGACTGGTCGACAGCTCCCGGGTTATCGTCGCCGAACTTCTCGTGCTTGCGCAACTCGCCAAACGTGAACAAGTCGTGTTCATGGGTGAAAACTTTCTTGTTTCTCGTGCATAAATCACACATTACCTTTCCATGCTTGCTCCTGACATGACGGTGCAGATCCGGCCATCCTAGGCACGCAACATCACAATCTTTATCTGGACAGTTATATCGAAGCAACAGTATGGTGTCTTCCAGGATGATATCTTTTTCGTATTTGATTCCCAAATTGTCGTCGATCTTGGCAAATTCAGCATCTTTGAAGTCCTCGTAACGTTTCTCTGCATTGTCGGTAAAGATTACAAAAGGTGCCTCCGTCTGCACACTGGTCAGTTTGCTGCTTGATGTTCATGCCAAAGGAGGACGTACTCTGCAGTGTGCACAAGCTCGTGTCTTATAAAGTGCCCTCAGCCTCAAGGAGCAAATGTGACATGTTTGATGGTTGCACGGAGCAATAGAGACATGCTCGATAGGACTGGCGCAGATGAAGCACAACTCCCCTTCTTCTGCGGGTCCAGATTCATTGTCATTCTCTTGAGGATGAGGTTCACTTGAATCGCCTTCAAGTTGTGAGGCAGCTTCGGACAGGCGACCACCGAAGCCGCCTCCGGGCGGTCTCCCAGACGTCGTGTCTGCTGCAGATTTTAGAGATAGTGGTGTTGAAGATGTGGCGTCTCTTCCACGTCCCCTAGCCCTTCCTCTGCCTCCTCTTGAACCTCTAGAACCTCGATTTCCAGCCCCTCTCCCTCGGTTATCAAATGAGTCCCGATCGTAGGATCCAGCACGATTGCGCTGACTGGAGCGATTGCCCCCGTCTCTGCGGGCTCCTCGTGGGGAGGGGGTTCCTTCGGTGGCAGTCGCGGAGTTCGACATGTTAACGTGCGTGGGTTTCAAGGGTGCTATGAGGCGTCGCAGAACGGAGTCCCTGTAAGGGTCGGTGGATTGCGTTGCGTGGAATAATATCTTCGGCGACCAACATCAAGCTATTTGGCCTCCAAAATAATTCGAGAGAACAAGAGTGGGGTAGTGACAATTGGTTGTTAATTATGTCAGGACCGGAGGGAGTCAAACATTCAGGAACCAACCAATCAAGCCACATTCTTTGACCGCTTTACTTGTATGGTAAATCCTTTGGAGGCACCGCTCAAAACGGGTTAAACTAAGGGTTGGTCACAGAGAACCACCTGGAAATCACGAGCTGGTCTCCCTCATTCTGCATAGGTCAGTTCGTTGTCGAGTCACACTGAGTCATTCGCTTTGCATGTCTCTCGAAATTGCGGGAAAGCAGCGAGAGGTTTGTGGAGTGCTTTAGTCAGCGAGGCTGGCCCCTCCTGACTGCCAGTTCCAAAATGCGGAGTTACGAGCTAGAATGCCGTCAACTCTCAGCTCAATCGTTCTATCTGATATTCCCATATCGGCTTTCATCAGTCGGCCACCGTGGCCTACGTTCATAACTGAAAATGTAAGTAAATGCGACCTCTTCTGGAGATTTTGACCCGTCCTAAACCGAATCGTCCCTACACGGACCAGAACGCCCAACGTCACTCCAAATCCTGTGTGCCGCTCAAATTGGCTCATAAATTCCAGAGGAACAACGCAATGTTGGAGTCTTGATGTCCTGAGCCTTGCCCAAATGATGTTTCCAAAAGTGCCATCAAGTCTTCATTCATCAGGGTTGTACATTTGCTGCGAGATCAACTTGGTCATGGTGAACATGTGGACCTTATCTTGCTTGAAAACGTCTCGCATCCTCGCATCGCAAATGATGTAGCGCTTGTCGCTGGGATCTTGAAGTTCGTTCGCTTTGATGTACGCCCATATGCGTTTGGTAGTCTCCGGCCGTGACAGCTATTTGCGATTAGCATTCTCATATCGTACGGCAACCAGATGCTCACCTGCGTTGCTCCGTCGAATAGATTCGACAGTGCTTGTGAAAGGTTGAGTGGTTTCTGCGTCTGCTTAGTGTTTGTACAACCCCTATTATATCTCCATAACGTACGTGGAAACCAGTGTCTCGTTTGGGTTTCTGTTTGCGCTCCTCTCCATCGATGTCCGAGTCATCCGATCCAGTCACTCGGTCCTTCTTCGACCATTTCTTCTTCTTGACAGGAGCTGTCTTTCGGTTCCCTCCACCACGAGTGGGCCGCGCCAGTTTGTCTTCTTCGGCCTGTAGACGAGCAGCGTATGCGGCATCTGCGTCGATGACAGATTTCTGCTTTTTCTTCGGAGGTTGTGCATCTATAACATCCGAAATATCTTCACTCTCTGCCTCTCTTTTGGTTGGCGAGCTCGAGGATTGTGCGGAAGAATGGTGGACACCATTAGTCTGAGCGAAAGGTTCGACTACTTCGGCTGTCTCGACAGATGGGATCACAGTGGTCTCGCCATTTCTCTTTTCATTGATGAGATCGAATCTCTCGCCGATCAAGTCCCTGATCGCATTCTACGTACTGTCAGTTTATGGATGTTGTCCGCGTGCTGCACCTGCACCCACCTTCTGCGGTGTAATGTCGTATTCGACTTGATCCTGTATCCCCTGCCGGATTTTCTTGGTTGTGATGGTCGTGAGATCCGCACTTTCGAGGATCGAATCAATGATGGTGGTATACCGCGCGCGGACCTCTGGCGGCACTGGTAATGATTAGTGAGATCGAATCTGTGTGATTCTAGAACAACTCACACGACATGACGACTCAATAAGGAAGAGATGAGGTCGATGTTAGATCAAGCGGACAGAAAACAAAGGTAGCGAATGTAGAGGATGGATATGGTCAGGCCACGATCAGAGTCAAGTCATGCGCCATCCGCTCCCTCCACCCCGACCAAGGTGCATCAATACCCCCAGAGTTGCGCTCAGCCACCGCTAACTAAACCAAAGTGCAAGAGACAGCACAATAAATAGAAGTTTAGAG